TAAATTTGGCGGCACAGCCTTTATTGTTATTTTGCAGACGATTTTCGTGTCGACTGTGAGCTGTGCCGCCATTGGGGGCTAAGCAGAAGGACGGGGGCAAAGCAGAATTGCGCCGGGGGCGTAGAGGAACGACGGGGGCGAAGCAGATTTTTTGCGGGGCGAAGCAGAACGGGGCGGGGGCGAAGCAGAACGGCGGGGCGAAGAGGAAGGAGTTTCATGGGGGTGCTAACGGAAAATTAATTCTGAACTGTTTTAGGATATGTACCCATGCATAAATAGTTTTTTAACGGGTTATACTTATGGGTGTGGTGCATGTATCGTTAGAATATTTAGTAGGTAGGTGGGGACGACAAAGGTCAAGGTCAATTACGGGTAATCTAGTGGATTTATATGGTACTGCTTCGTGTAAGCTATGGTCTTGATTTTTGAATGATAGTCATGGGTATTAGGCAATAGGTACCTGGTAAAGGTTTCAGGAAATAGCTGCTTTTAAAGATTGCACTGGGCCTTTTATGATGAAAATACCCTTGACGGGATATCTTTTGATGTTGTAGATGTGTTTTCAGACACTTTAATAGGATGGGGTCAGGAATACGAAGCCTAAGTTTAGTGGGCATTCTAGCGGGTTTCTAAGGTACTGCAGTTTTGTGTTTTATACGTCTATATAGTGGCTTGGCCTGTAACGTAGGTCAAGGTATTTTAGTAGGTCATGTCCATAGCCAATAGATGGTCACACAACTTGGACATGCCCTAAAAGGTCGATTTGAGCTGAAGTAATCAGCAACAATACCTTTCATGACTCACGGCAGAAGAAATTACCATAGATATGATGTCTTTAACGTCTATCTTTGCATCACTACTGGCACCAGATTCTTTTCACAAGACCCATGAATAAATTTGCAATCACGAATAGCACCCGAAAAACGCGTTTCGATGCGTCCAAGGGCGTTCTTTATAGAACAGAACAGAGAGTGAACTCGGTTACCGATGGTTGCCTTTATACAGGAGATAGACAGTGTAATATGTTTGTCAAGACCTGGTGAGCCACTTGGCCGCATTTGAACGTCATTCAGTGCCCCTGGAAACGGCCACACGAGCCGGTATGATGAGCTGGTCGTGACCGGTGAATGGGCCATTCTTCAGACAAAACCTCCGGGTACAGCCTCTTATGGTACTGCTCTAGACGAAGGGAAAATCTTCGGAATCTAGATGATCTATCATTTCTCCTATCATTAGTACTGACGCGGTCTGTCAACTTTGTGCCCGTGTTAGCCTAGGCATCCACCATGGCTTTCAACAGGGATGCGGATCTGGAAATTCAGTATAGAAGATGGAAGAATACTAGTATTTGGTAACTTGAAGGAGAACCTGAGTCCACAAGAATGCTACCCCCCCCCCTTTTAACGGCATACGACCTTTACTCGTGATTTTACGGATACGTGACGTCAGTAACGGGTCAAACGTGCCAGGGAGTTTGCACCACCTTTTTGTTGGATTTAAGTTTAGTATTGTGCTATGATTACTATCAACACAGATGACATTTCATGACATTTAGGCTTCGTTAGTCAACACTTGCCTTCAAGTCTATTCTAGATAAAGTTGAAGGTAGAAACATGACCTATGTTAATAAGAATCTTGTCTTTCCAGTTCGTAGATCATGAATGCCATTTAGGCTCTGTTAGCTTGGTGTGAAACTAGCTACTCTTAAAGTAAAATAAAATAGGATGGGAATTTGGGGTTAAATGTCATCTTATCCTTGTTGACACAGCTCTATAGTGGGAGCACTTTGGCAGAACGTACTTCGCTTGCACGAAACCGCAATGTATTATGCATCGCACTTGAGCAGAACTTCTAGTTTAAGGTCGTATTCGCGTATGTACGGATTATATCCCGTCAAATGTTGTATCGGAAGAGATATCGTCTGCAACGGACAGGGTTTTGATGCAATGTTGACCAAACATCCAAGGAAAACTCCAGGTTGAACCGTATGTGCAGTATTTTCTTCCGCACCCTAAGCCAGGAATGTACGCATGATCATCGCAAATGCATACAGACGCAACGCTCTGTACTCTCCATCTGGCGGAGTAGTCCATTCTCGTTAAGATGTTCATCGGTCTCTACTGTGACAGGCGGGCAGTTTCCAATTTAGATAACGTTGAAGAATGATGGAAACCCCTTAACATGTGCCGTAAACTTACCCTAAGTTCACCTTAAAAGTTTATTACCGAGGTAAATTTCTTTTATATTATATTTTACTAATATATGGACATACTATTTCTGTTACCGACTTGCTTGAACCTTAATTTAATGTTTGGAATATGATGCAGGGCATGGAGGTATGATTTAAGAGACAACTTAAGGATACCTTGAGGATACAAGGATACAAACCGTAAAAATGTCCTTTATCCTGGAAATTATTTGAAAGATCAGTCGAGTATTTGATCGCCATACATAGTCCATGGGCGCCAGAGGAGATATCGGTACCACCTGAGGTGGCAAATTCTCATTATGGTTTTTGAAAATTAGTGTGTGTGAGGAATATATTTTGATATGATAGCCGTCGCAGTGGGGTAGCTTTGACCTTGCTATCTGACCATGAACTTTAACCCCATATGGACCACATTTTTTCTATTTATAATGCAAAGGTGTGGCAAACAATCAAATATGGATTTTTTTTCAATGTTAACTTCATGGACGTATAAATCAGGAACCAAGGATTACAAAAATGCTAATTTTGTTTCGATATGTCATTTCTATGCATATGAGAAGTTTGAGCGTATGAAATTCAATTTTGATAATAAAATTGTAAAAAAGGTAATGTTTACTTTTTAGAAACTGTGGTATATATCCAGATTTGGGCCTGTTTTATGCAGCCATCTGATTAATTGTAACTTTTCCTACATTTTAATCTTTGAATCATACAAACAGTCGCAGCGTGATCGCTGCCGCTAATTTCCGTCTCGTATACCGTCGTTGCCGTTTGAAACGGTCGCAGAAGGGCTAACTTTAAGTGTATTAACGCCTCTCAAAAAGGTTATGGTACGCTTGAATATGACATCGACCATTCAGCGATATGGCATAGACTATTTCAAACGGCAAGGAGCGTTTACGAGACGGGAACGCGCCTCATCGCCCTATAGTGAAAACGTGGGCCTATGATAAAGTGCCAGTCACAAACACGATCAGCATGACGGCCTTTAAAAACCGCCTCGTCCCACTAGTTCAATCACTGCAGCGTTATCACCAGAACGATAAATGTGGAAATCACGCAAATGGAGCGATTTTACTTTCATTTCCATCGTGACGAGGCATTTCATGGTCGTACCCACTCAAATCCAACTGATGGAATTCGAATAACCGTCATCAAGTGACGCATACTTGTGTTTCATAATGAAACCTTTGGAACAACTTACCACCAAAATTTTTAAAACGTTCCAATTCATCTATCTTAATTGGTGTTCGGGTGCATATTTGACGCTTTCGTTTAATGACAGATTTACACTTAACTAAAATCGGTCCTGCAAACGTGGTGAACAATGGTGTTTTTTTTTGTTCCAGGTGTGTGGGCAATCTCTTCACTGGCCAGCTTCCCGCCCATCGTCGGTTGGTCCACGTACCAATTCATCCAGGGAAAGGCTATCTGCACCATCAAATGGTCCACCGACGTGTCCTATACCCTCTTCATCCTTCCCACCTTCATCCTCCTGCCCTTCTTCGTTATGATCGCCTGTTACTACAAAATCTTCAAAGTCGTCAAGAAGAACTCTCAAAGAATCATGTCCCATCACAGGAGAACCGAGTTGAACCCCACCACCCCTGGGAGCACCCCTTCGAGTAGTAAGAAGTCGTGGCAGCCGGTGCCGGTGAGAAAGGACTCTGACCAGTCGACGGGAACCCCCCGCGTACCCCCCACGATTACCATCGACTCAGCAGATTCGAGCGACGCCGTCAAAGATGGTGGCGGCCACGATTCCAACAAACCGCTGCTCCCAAACCACATATTGGCTGCAAAATCTACAGAAACGACCCGAAGAAATTCCAAGGAAAAATTCAGCTCCCAAGGAACCGCCGGGGAGAGTGAGAATCCTAGAAACGAGCCGACTTGCAGTACGGAACAAAAAGACCCTCTTCAAAGCAGCTGTGACAACAACAAATCTTGTGAGTCAGAGCAGACGTCTAAAAAGACTGGAGGAGATAATAATGTTGCCACAGTCAGCTTCGCGTGCAAAAGTCACAGCACACTGACGGGACTTGCTCTAGAGAGAATAAACGAAGAAAATAAAGGTGAGACACAAGGGCGCGTACGGTGTTACTCCGATGTCAGTGCTACGAAGAAGAAGAAACCGTTGCTTCGCCCAACTCTAAGCGCAAAGAAACGAGACTCTTTAGATGACACTGATTACTCGACTGCAGTTGAGTTAAAGGAGATCATAGTCACTAACGATATCATTCTGCATAACCCAAAACTGTTGGAGGACAGCGACGATAAAACTGCCATTAAAACTCATGAGCAGCGTACCGAAAATGGCCCCAAGCATACAAATTCAAGAAAACAGACAATAGAAAGCCCGATGAATGTAAAAAATACAGCTAAGAGTGATATTGATATCATCGTCACTTCTCCAAGTCCAAATTCTAAGAGCAACAGGACGAAGGGGAACCATAAGACTACTGCCATAATCGAAAACACCGCTTCTCGTAAATCAGACAACACACAAGGCAGATCTTCGTCTCCCAAGTCAAGACGCTTCTCAAGACCGACCAAGAACAACTTGAAGTTTGACTGCAACGCGAAGTCCCCGCGAAGACTATCGGACCCGTTCACGATCCTGACATTGGAGAGTAAGATCATGAAGGACCAAAGCGTGTCGCAGTCTTCTCTGAACGCTACGATGGGACCTGTGAGCATCCTTCGCAAGTCGTCTACGGGAAGTTGTTCTGGTGACATCGAGAGTCATCGAAGAGACAGGCTGAGTCCAAGGCCGAAGGAGAAGCTGTCGGCAAGGCTGTCAGATCCGGAGAAGTACAACCGCATCCGACTGTCCATCGGGCATGTTGATGTGGAGAGGAAACGGAGTCACAGCCTGATCACCTCCACAAGCCCCAGTCTACTCCGCAGGTTCCAGTCACCTAGCTTCATACGCAAGCGCCAGGGTCCGGGAGTGGACGACGTGAAGGTACGCAAAGCTTCATATTTAAGAAAATAAGACGAGCGCCGGTGTTCGGCGATGGGCGATGTAAAGGTACGTTAAGATTCGGATTAAAGAAAATAAAACAATCGCCAGGGTCCGGGAGTGGACGACGTGAAGGTACGCGAAGCCTTAAATTCAAATACATTCAATGCAATTTCAGGGTTGCAAAACTGCATTTTGAAAGCTAATTGCCTGATGATTCTTTTAATTAGTGAGTTACACCAATCCTACCCAACAGCGTACTGATATCTAGTGTGAGGAAAAATGTGATGCCACTGACGAAAATAGTTGTTTTGTATCGTAGGCTGCTTCTAGCAATTTATGATAGGTCCAAAATTTGCCAAGAATAAATGACAGTAAATTTCTATGTTAGATAGATTTCCTCATCTAGAGTATTTTTGTTCTGCGGCCTTGGAATTGTATTGGATGAACTTAAAAAAATGGTCTTCAAAACTTGTTCCAAACCTTAAGCTACCTGGCAACTCGTTACAGTCTTCTATAACACTGCTACCGCTGCCTAGGCCGATAAAAAGCTTGATAAGATCTCCACTAGTTATTTGAAACTACCGCAGAGCCTGTGTTGTGTAAAGACTTTAACGAGTTTTTCGTTATCTTGCTTTGTGGGTTCCATTTTGACAGAAGACAAAAGCGCAGACGCAGCAGGGGCTATACTGGTTGGGCCACAGCAAGTAAATTTAAGGATGACATCCTCCACAGACTCCAAACCTAGTGCGATAAGGCAAAAAAAAATAAGGCCGGCCAACAAAACAAGGTTTCTATATTTTCAAAATTAATTTTGACATCATAAACCTTATAAAAAATGATTCCTACATTGCACTATGTTTACTGCCAACTATTACAACATCCATTTGTCACTGAAAAATAAAAGTTTTCAATTGTATGGATGATATCCAAGGATGTACCCAACATGGCCTAGTTGTGAAAGCGGTTCAGGGACTTGTGACTGAACTTTTACCAGTAGAACGCGTCCCTATCACTACCAGCACCCATTAAAATAAATCACTGATCTTTCCCACCTTTACCTGAGAGGTGGTTTCCCTTAAAGCACGTTTGAAAGTTTCATTACCCTCTGGACTAGCCTAACCCACAAGTTCTAATGACTTGATTTGCCAGTTTGTCGTTATGAAGACCGATTGGGAATGACCTATCCTGGAGGTTATCTGCATTTTGATTGTTTTAAAACATGAGTTGGTTAATGACTTGACTTAATAACTTTGGGCAAGAAGGCGAAAAATTAAATACCGTGTTCATTTTTTTTAGGTAATTTTAAGGATATTTGATATGACTAAACCGACCTTCTTCTCTTTAAGTATATAGTAGAGTGGATTGAGAATTCCTAAAACTAATTGACATCTCGCACATGCAGTCGCCCCTCAGAAAGACATCTGAAGCAGCACCGAAGTGCTGTACAGATAAAAATACAGAAGCTGGTGTGTTACGCCAAGGGACAGTTATACAGGCAATACAGATACAGATGCTGGTCTGTTACGCCAAAGGGCGGTTATACCGACTATACCGACACAGATATTTTACACTCCGCTCTTCTTCTCTTCCAGGTCACTAAGATTTTACTCATAGTAATCTGCGTGTTTGTGGTCTGCTGGGCGCCCATCAGTTTGGTCAACTTCGTCGAGACCTTCTTCCGTATTCAGATCCCGCCTATCCTGGACATCACCACGGTCTACATGGTGTTCCTGAACTGCGCGCTCAACCCTGTCATCTACGGACTCATGAACAGAAACTTCCGAGACGGGTTCAAAGACTTCTTCAGTAAGTGTAGAGGGAAGGGCGAGCACGACTCGAGCAACGGGAAAAAGTCACGGGCCTCTGATGGCAAGATAGTATGAGCATCATAATAATGGTCAGGCCGTAAGGATGACTTAAATATACCACCTACATATGCTGGTAAGCGCAGGTACATTTGTCTACCTGCACCTAACCTGCACTGATCCATGTACTGGGTATATGCAGATTAGTGCAGGTAAAATTGGAGTTGTGCAGGTATTTCTGATGTCTACCTGCACCTAACATGCACTTGTCCCTGTACTGGGTATATGCAGGTTAGTGCAGGTAAAATTGGAGCTGTGCAGGTACTCACTAATGCCTACCTGTACTTAACCTGTACCAAACAATGTACTTGGTAATATAAAATTGACATTTAGATGTTTCTGGGTTGTTTTATTCGATACATTGACTGTTACTACCTATGAAGTATAAAAGATATAAAGGCAATGGTTTCTGAACAGTTTTTAGTATGATCCATACTTCCTAATTCAGTGTTGCAGGTAAAACTTGTCTGGTGCAGGTAATTTTCAATGTTATCTGTACCAGTTTAGGTATGCAGAAAAAGTATTTAGAGCCCTTGATGACGATGTACGATAGTAACAATGCTGTCTGTGCTCCACGTGTATTGCACTGTGGCAATCGGCAGAGAAAATAGAAAAAAAGGAGTAATATACGCGTGAAATAGTGACAGACTATTTTAAAAATAACAAGAGAAACCTATCATATCTTCTCTGTCATATTGACATGGACACATGAAGTCTAGGAAAGTTAACTCCTATAACTCCAAGATGACGGAGTGTTCAGTACATGCGTAAGAAATTTAGTATCCTATTGCATTTTGAAGTGTATGTAGTGTCGTGTAATTCCAGCTCTAACGTATTCTGTTGACAGTTTTATTCGTGGGGAATTCAACGAGAACCTGAATGTACATATCAACCTAGTTCAGTGTGCTTTTTGATCTAGCCATCAATCTAAATGTCTAAGGAAACTGCCGCAGTGCCGTATTAACCATGACAGACATATGGAGGTAGTCTAGCATAATCGATGCATATTAAAAGACAACTAAAGTAATTTCAGTTTTAGTGCCCTTCTAACTATATTATCATGATTGATTGTGGCTGTTGGTTGGTGCACGGAGTATTGCAGAAGGAAATGTGCACTAAATGCCGAATATCTATCCAGAGACATTTCGTTATTGTAGAAATATGTAGTGCATATGAATTATTACTGGCATATAATTATTTGTTGTAGCTGGATATTAAGCAGAAGACAATCTGATCTATATATATATTCGGACAATGATAGTATATGCCTGTGTAAAATTGTATTGTCTTTATAGTAAATTAGATCGTTGTTGTTTGCAATGTGATTATTTGATAAAGGTATCTAATGCAATTTTATGGCAGAAAAGTTGGATTTTCAAAGTTATTTTTTTTTACATTTTTTCATATATCTTGTGTTTCCGAGCTATTTTAAATGATTCAATATAAAATGATAACAAATATGTGCTAAGAAATGGCAGTTAATGTCAATATCAGATAGATTTCCTCATCACGATTTTTTTTGTTTTGTCGTAAAATTGCATTGGATTTAATTAATTGTTGAAACATCTAATCCCGTATGAATGAAATTATAGCTCAGCAGTATACATTTATTATAATTAGACAAAATGCATATTGATGCAAGATTATTCTACCAGCTAGTAACTTTAATTATTACGAGTGCCAGCTTCTCTTAGCCACTTAAACCACAGCAGTTGCCAATAAATTTCTGTCACTCGTGGCCTTGGATATATATAGCTACGAACATGTATATTTTCTGACAAAATATCTAACGGTTAGCGGTAAGTATTGTCTCTATTGTGTGAAATTGTCGCAGAAAAAAAATAGTTAAAGAGATTAAGTTTTGTTGTCATAGTCACCTGTATTGTCATTTTGCAGCTGATTGCAATAAAAAACGCACATTGTATGAAGGCGCATTGAGTTTTTCTGACTTTCCTCTTGCACATAATCTATCTTTGACAACTTATGACAGGATACAGACATTGATGTATACAGTTTCGGGGGTATATCCGTTTAGATGTTATACGATAAAAAGTTGCTTGAAGGCGGCTTGAAGCTGCATAATCATATAGCCAGAATGCGTCGACCAAGCAGAAGGCTCCATTTGCCATTGGCTATGAGGCCGTAACCTAAAAAGTGGTCGGTTATTAACACTTGGTGGTTTATTCGGTGGTCATCGCACCTGACCAGGGATTATCTCACCATATACACCTCGGCGTGGGCCATTAACCCTTTATCATATAACATTATAAAGAATATCCCCTATGTAATGTTCTCTCGTTGGTACAGAATAATGGCTCATTCTTCTCTTGATCAGTTACGAATACGAAAGCAATTTTTGTGCAGGAAGCGTACGCTATGGAAAAGTTTCAAGGGATATCAGTTGGCACAAATGCCAGCGTGCGGTGTTACCCTTCAGCACCAAGGGCAGAGTCAGTATGCGTTAGTGTTGCAGTTTGACAAAACATCGCAAGGGGGCGCTTGTACGCAGTAAGATGTAGGAGGAGGAGGGGGGCTACATGGGAAAATATACCATTTTCGTGCGCAACTTTTCCTCAACTATCATAATACTCGAAACATTAAATCTGTTCTAATTATACAATTCCATTCAGACGAAAACAAGACTGAAAACGCTTACGTGCTCCCAACAGGTCGAGACTGCCCTTGTCTTATTTTCTTGAGGCTGCAGAACGCAGATCAGTGACTCCTGGGTCCACGGAAAATGAACTGTTTCCCCCCGTTGGGAAGTTTTCTGGTTAAACGCGTCCAAAGTAATTCCAGGGTGCACAAAACTGGATTTTCAAAGTCAATTTTCTGAGTCATTCATCATCATCATCATGGCGGACCTGTCGTCTGACGATCTCGTACCCAGGGCACCATGCCACGTCTCACCATTTGGATGACAGTTCTTAACGTAATTATGTCGCGCTTTTAATATAGTCCGTCAGAATTATTACGCGAACGAGAAGTCTATTCTTATAGGGATAGATGACGAAAGGAAGTATCATTAACGTGCAGTTTTACACAGTGTCACTAAAACATGCATTCACGGCACTTTCATGATAACTGAATTAGTATTTCTCAATTATTGCTAGGCGCTAAGATGCCAGTTACACATGCAAATTTTTAATTCTGGAAGAAACCTCTAATACTCTGAGGGAACATCATAAAAACTTAGCTTTTCTTAAACAAAATTGTTACATTCATGTTGCATGTTACATTCATGTTGCAAGTATACATACAGTTACAATAGGGGTCGGGCACAAAAACTGACTGGAACATAGACGTTGAATTTTTTGCCGTTTACGATCGGAAATGTAATTCAAATAATGAGCATGTCCCTTCCCAGAAGACCTTGTGAAACCGTACAGAGCCAGGAGTGAGCCGCCATTTTGACTGCGACGCCGTGAGACTTGGAAGTTTCTTCCCACTTACTCTGTCTTTCGCACCACTTGCAATTCGCACTTCTTGCACCGCTTTGTAAACGTCGCTGAGAACTACTTTCTGAGGCGTCCTTAGGAAGTTTGAGAATCGACACACAGGGAAAGGGACACATTTTAGTGACCAAATAGGAAAGTAAGGTACGTTTACTTTTTATACTATTATCTGTAGCAGTAAATAATATTTCTGTTTTTTGAATTCTTTTTGTGTGTATTTGTGGTTGCAGTAGAAATATATGAGTCAATATATCTATTGATTTTTTGTGAGACCAAAAGTACTAGTGCTAGTGAAGAATTCTTTTGTAGACACGTGGCGTACATTATTATACATTTGGACCGAGAGATCTGAGCACCTGGCTGAAAAACTGGCTGAATTAGTTAATTTATAAATAATATTGTCGTGCTTTATTAGTTGCTGACCATGAAATAAGCTAAGGCTTGAGAACGTCATCGCTGGTTGTGTTCAAAAAAGTGTATAAATGTGAGAAAAGCGCATAGAAGTTGTGTAATAATCTAATTCCAGAGATAGACGGCGGCTGTCGCAGAATGAGTCGCCAGGCGCCCGCCAGTGGCTCGAGCACGAGCGCCCCCAGCCGAGTGGTGCCGGCACCGCACTACGCCCGCCTGCAGCACGCTAGTGGACACGTCCGCCCCAGTGTGGGATACTGTGTAGCAGGGCCACAGTGGCAGTATGTCGCTAGTAAGTTTTGTTTTAATTACCTTCATGACAATTGGAGGTATTGTTTTTGAAATGCATACATGTGTTTGTGTGTGTGTGTGTCTGTGTATTTGTATGTGTCTGTATTTTGCATAGTATTAGAGCAACGATTTCATCTTTGCAATGTTCTATTTGTCTACAGATCACCCAGTCTACCCCAGCGTCCAGCCCTACGCACCGCCATACGTGGTGCAGCACCCCCTCGCCCACCCCCACCACCATGCTCACTCTAACCCCCATGCAGAGCCTTATGTAGTACGTCAGCCGATATTCCAGCCTCACTACCACCCCTCAGTGGTGCCTCAGGTAAGTTTGTCAATAAAATGCGAATCCACCGTTTTACCATTCCCAGGATGCATGGCACTAGGAGATAAAGATTCCCAAATCACCTAGCGCCGAAATGGGGTGGGGGGGGGTATACTCTTGACATTATTGAGATATCTGAACAGCAACCTTTAATTTTTTTTGTAAAACACTCTGGCTTTGCGGCCAGAGAGTAGCCGATGGCCACGTAGATTTTCATTTGAATATGGTCTAATATAATGTATGTAATTTGAGTACTTATTTGTTGGCCTTCTTATTCGTACTGTGTAGGGATGTGTCATCGCACCTACGTACGTCAAACCGACAACAGCAGTCCACCGCCCCAGCCAACAGGCCGCCCTTGCAGCAGCGCCCCCTGCGGCAGAAGCAGACAATGCAGGTAAACAGAAGATCACGGCGGCGTCTCCAAAAGTCGACGACGACCCCGCAGTTATCAAGATCCTGCGGCGGGAGGAGACGAAACCACAGCCGGAGGCGAAGGCTGCCGATACCGTTCTGCCACCACAGATAATCGTAACTGATAAAGAACCATCAGGGTGAGTATCTAGCATTTTTTTCTGAAAGTGCGCTAAAAAGAGTTCTTGTCAATATCAGATTTCTTCATCCAGAATAAAATTGCCGTCCTGAAATTGCATTGGATGCCTTTAAATCTGTAAGTTGCCAGGTAAAGTCAAACTGGCTAAATATGAAATTAAGCACATGTCTTGACTTTCCAAATGTGGTGGTTGTGATGTCAATTTAATTTACTGTACAGAATGGACGATGCGGCCAAGCGCACATCCACCCCGTCCATCATATCAGACGACACGGGGTTCGACTCGGCCAGTCAGAAGACGTCCGAAAGCGGGGAGGACAGAAACGGAGACTACCTGGACATCGTGCACAACCTCATAGAGAAGATAGAACTAGACCAGGGAGCACGGAAGGCTCAGGACAACACCGAAGGCGGCGTGCCCATCTCCATCGACAACTCTTACTCCAACATACAGTTCTCCCCCAACAAGGCCCCGAGTCTGTTCGGACGAGCATTCCGGCTGTCAGGTCGCTGCAAGCCTAAAAAGAAGTCCCCCGTCAAAAGGACGAAGGGGTTCGGCGCTCCTCCGAAAACGACGGACGCCTCGGCGAAGAATCCCGACAGCGACGCGAAGCCGTCTGAGGACGACAGTTGGATTGAGGGCGATGGAAACCCCGTCTTGGCCTATCAGATTACGGAACCGACGTTTGACTTCGACAGGGCAAGGCAGGAAGCGGAGAGGAGGGCGGCAGAACGTGAGATCATGGAAAACGATGACGCGGCACCTTACCATGGGAAGCGATGGAGGCGAAAGTCAAGGCAGCCAAACAAACAGCCACCTATGTACAAGGTAAGGATAAATTTCGAATTGAAATTCCACAGTTTGTAGCGTATCCGTGAGCTGTCACCATGGTAACTAGTGTTGGGTTACATCATGTTGCACTTAAATAGCAGGAGGGATTTAGACTCTTATTACCATACTAGTACATGGATGTGTTTGAGTAGGAATTAACAGAGCAGACCATATTCTGGTTCCCAACTTTTTCAGGCCTGGCAAGCTTTCAAGAAACCTTTCAAGAACAGGAACCAGAGCCAGCGAGGCGACGGCGATGGTTACTATGGCAACCCAAACGGCAACAAAAACTTCAACGCTTTCTGGCAGCGCGGCCGCACCAGACGGCGACACAACACCTTTGGATCACAGGTGAGATTACGACCTTAAATGAGACGTTCTGCCGAAGCGCTATACCCAGTGCATTATATTACGGGTTTCACCCGACGTGCTGGTCTATCTTAAGAGTACCGTGACAGTCATGCCTTGCAATATGCAGCCCCTTGTACGTAATATACCCATACTTTAATCAATGAGAGCTGGGAACTAAGGTGTGTTCTGTCTTTGACAGAGACACCTGGCGGACCAACTCAAACTGCACCAAGACGGGCATGTCCGAGGGACCTATTCAGTCGACCCTAGCGGCGCATGCGTCAACTTGAACTTAAACATCACTATCCCAAACAAGAAAGAACTTGTATCGGCTGAGGTAGGAACGGAATCGACCCAGCACCACAGTATATTCTGATTTAAGAAGTTTGAAAAAATCATCAGTAATATTCTGTGATTATTTCTTGATGTATATCTGGCGAAGGAAGAATTTGTGAGTGCACACGTACAAGGGGCTGCAGGCATGATGTTTAATTAGTTATACATTTAGTTCAAATCTGATTCAGCCAGAAACCTACAGTATTGATAGTATCCAAAGCAGTTAGAGAGAACTGTCCACAATGCGCTTCCAAACGCGGACCGCATTGAATATAAAGTTCCCTGTAACCATCCATACGTGTAGATATGTATATATATTATACGTTTGGGAATGCATCTATAGCAGCGACACCTGTGCTGCAATGCAATGTGAACCAGTCAGAATTTCCCTGAGGAAGGTGACACTCGGTCACTGAAACGTCGGCTGTTAATAAAACACTTGGTTGTGTAAAAAAAAAAGTCTCTATACTCAGTGACTTACCAACCTGATGAAAATATTTACGGAAATCATCTCCACAGGTTATTATATAAATAATCACCCCCTTTCTCTCGTACTAACACTGGTCTAAAATTTTTCCAAAAGGCTGACCTTGACGACTCCAGAGTCACCATATTTGACGACGACGACGAAGCCGAGCCCGAGGCGCCGCCGATGATGACCGAAAACATCCCGAGCTCGAAACGACGCTCCCGACGAACAACCTCCGAGCCGAGACGACGCAAAAACTCGTATCTCCGACAGAACGGCTGCGAAGGTGCCAGGCAGCCAGGTAAAATTACCACTACGTAAAATACCTACTTTAAAAGTGCAGCCATTTTACTGATTCTGAAATTTATGGCAAGTTGTCGAGAACTACTGTCCAAGCACAGGTTTAGGCTTTGGTGTATTTTTCGCGAATTTTTAGACGTTTTTATTGAGTCTTTATTGAGCCTGCCCAATTTAATAGTCTCGCATCCACCAAAAGATCTGCTTGGAGATCATTTGGGAGACGCGTACGCGTGAAACAATAATATAACCACGGTTGACTTAGGTGCTATGAACTTTTAAAAACAAATTTTAGTTCCCTATATTGATAGGCATTTTAGGCACTGTCGTTCTCTAGTGTTTTTCAAGAAATGTTTTACATGCATTTCAGGACACGATGACTGGGACGAGTGGGTCCATGCAGGAGGAATGGTGTCAGGAAAGTGGGGAGTCGTGCCAAGGAGAGGTAAAACTACGAACCTTTCTCTAGATATAGGCTCTTTTCCCTAGGATGAAATTGTCCGTACCGAGAGGATATAGAACGTTTGAACTGATTAATTATGTAAATGAAATTTTATTTGTACACTACATATTTTTTTCTAGAATTCTGGTTAGAAACCCAGATTTATAATATTATTTATAAGTACTTAACACAAGAATGTAATATCAATATACGATTTTGCTGTTTCTGCTATTTTCATCTAGAACGCCTGCGCAGGACTAGCAGCCGCAATGAACTGTGGGTAGATGACAACCCCTCAGTGTATGAAGGTGCCTGCATGGGCGTACGGCAGGACGCACTGCGCAAGCGCCAGGCTACTGGTACATTGCCACGTCAGCGCCTAGGCTCCAATCATGCATAAATTATCATAAATAGGCGACATGGATGAACTATGACCCAAGCACGAGCAATGGTGAACAGATTTGTATCCCAAAGGCTAAAGCGAGATTGAATGTATCTTATATTGATAACGCATGTATGTGTAAAATGATTATTGAATAAGTATTTTTCTAAATTTTTCTCTTAGTATTGCATGGACTATTTATTATCAAATCTATATCTGTATGTAATTGTTATCAATCTATGTAAAGAAAATGAGTAATGTAGTATGTTAAGAGAATTATCACAAATGCTTTAGTGGTTTTGCACATTGCTATTGTTTAATATGGATAAAACTTTATAAGACATTACAGTATATACATGATGATGATATATATGTAATGTCTAAAGCTACACATTTAGTTATCTATACAAGCGTATCTTTTCTTATATCATTGCACTTTTGAAATGCACAAAAATAGTTCTGGTTGATATTTATGTTTATGAAATAAAGATGTTTACCTTCACATTCAGTTTTTCTATTCCTTCTACACAAATCATATTGCTACAACAGACTTGAATTAAACATTAAACATTACACATTGTCACATTTAGATTTCAACTCTGCAACAGTTGACAAGCCAAACGTTGTAGTTACTTTCCTTTAAAGAAGCAAAAAAACTAGAAGTATAACAAACACCATGATGTTGGTGAACTACTTATTGATAAATGGTTGTGAATAAAGAACTATACTTCCATTCAAACAAACATATAACTGATAAAGGTTAGCCATCTAAGTAGATCATTATGTAACGCAAAATCACTAAAAAAATGGATAAACATTAACTTTGAGGAATTTTATAAATAAGGCAAGCGGCCAAATATAAGAATTTATCATGTTGCTTAATTTATTTTGTACTAGTTTGTTGGTTCTCGGATTTTTTCAGAAAAAAAATGAAGCGGCATGCAGGGCAAAAAAAACCAGGCCTAGATAGCTCCAAATGCTATGATAAGTCAACATACCGGGTTGGTTTGTAATTCAAACTTTTAATCAAAAACTGTAACAACTCTGAAGAGAAGGGACATTCCTTCAACTGTTGGTGCCAAACTATGTGCATTGAGCAGAAGTCATCACATAAGCATCTAATCTGTGCTTTTTGCTAAATACTCAATAAATATATGTGAATAAATATTTTAAAAAAGTGCATTTTGGAGTTGATTCAGGGCCTGAATTTTTTTTTCTCTTTTGCAAATCAGAAAAAAATGAAGCAGGCAGCTGTGCAAACCAACAAATTAAATTGGTGTGGTGACTGTGGTCTTATGTTACAAACCATGTCCTTGTCAAGGATTGTGAGTCTTCATATGGGTCTTTAGACTTCCTTTTTGGCTAAATTCCTTCCTACATACCTCACACTTGTGAGGTTTCTCACCAGTGTGAGTGTAAAGGTGGGTCTTGAGGTTACCCTTAGTGATGCACTTCATACCACACATCGGACACTCGAACGGTCTCTCCCCAGTGTGTTTACGCATGTGGACTTTCAAGCTACCAAGCTGGCTGAATTTTTTCTCACACACTTGGCATTCATAAGGCTTATGCGCAGTATGGATGCGTGTATGTGTTATCATATTGCCCTTGCTTGTAAACGACATTTCGCAAAACTCGCAGACGAAAGGTTTCTCGCCAGTGTGTGTACGGATGTGGTTCTTCAGCGTACCATGCTGACTAAATGCCTTGTCACACATCTGACACTTGTAAGGCTTATCGCCTGTATGCACACGCATGTGAATATTCATATATGCCTTAGTGGTGAAGTTCTTCTCACAAAAACTACAAGGGAAGATCCTTTCTATGGGGTGGGTTTGTACAGGAGTTGGTTGGCTGGATAAGCCGGGTATGTTACTTTGGAGGGTCTCAGAGTTGCATTTTCTTTTGGATCCTGGCATATGAGCACTATTGATGTGGTCTTCGAAACTTGAGATCGTGCTAAATTCTGACCCACAAATGTAGCACACCCAGGCTTGATTTCCACTACTGCATGTATGTTGCAAAGGCTGAGGGCCAATTTCTGACTTGTTCTTTTGACTGCTTGCACCCCAGCTACATTCCTGAATGTCTCTCCTACTCCCTGGTGCTCTCCACATGTCACATGTATGTTTTAGTCCTAGGTCTGTGGTGCAACTTGCTGTTGCACGTCTGTCTTCTTTTTGTCTTCCATCAAATGTCCCATCTTCTCTTGTTTCTTCACGATTGTGTTTTCCAGTGTGCGACCACATGTCTATAGTTGATGGTTGCCGGCCTTTGTTGCTCGTAAAAAACCCACCACACTTATGGAAAAGAGTAGGGGTCCTTCCAGGTGTGAGCAGTTCAAACCTTGCAGTCTGGTCTGTGTACAAAAAGGTAAATATGTCAAAGAATGTTTAGACCTTTGATAAAGTAGTATAAATTGACTCATTTATAGTCTTCTACGGAGGTCAACTCTTTTGTACCCATTCCGTCTGTCTGTATGTCTAGTTATAACTTATACTTAAGTTATAGACCTTACAAATTTTAAAGTTGCTGTACATTTACTTTTGTTGTGTTACTAGTAATGAAATTCTTATTATGCAGTGAAGACAAAGAAATTGTCACTAATCTAACTTCCTCATCGGTTTTTAACAAAAAATCAATTAAAACATGTCTAGGTGTAAAGGTATGTATTTCTTTTGTTTATAAAAATGTAAACATGAAGGAAGCATGGGATATAACACAATTTGACAAGGAAAAAAAGATAACTTGAAAACTATCCCGACTAAACTGATAGTTTGGGCTATCATACTAAGATTCTAAAGCAGATGCCTTGGCAAAAGCGAAGCACGATATGATCCTATATTTAACACTAGTACTTCGTACGCCAAATTATTTGTAAAGCGGAGGCTCTAAAGCGTAACTAACGCCCCCCTCCCACACCCATCGTATGCACAATAAACTTCAAATATACAGCAATATCACAAGCATTACAAGCATATAGATGTTTTAAAACAACAATGATCATACCTGTAGCAGTCCTATGGGTTAGAATATCCCGGGATCCTTGTAGTATGTATTTTCTGGCCGTAAAATGATTACAAAAGACACAGAAGATGGCGGTACTGAAATGCTGACCTCTTGATGACCTTTGAATCTGCACCCTGAATACTCAAATAGTGTCGCAAGATACCGCCTGTACAGCAAGTCAAATGGAGCCAAAGCACGTTCGCCATGTCAGTCCTTTTCCACATCTTAAAAGTCACAGATAGTATGACAACCATTTCATAACGAACCCAAATCTTTAGCTAGTTAAGCAAGAATTATTTCCTCCACAATTTCACACCTGCATTTTGAACATTACCTACCGCTATCTGGGCAAATACATGTAGACTCATATTATTTGTGTGTGTGTGTGGGATGGGGGGCATTCGGCAAAAACATTTTTTTTCCAGGCAATAGGGCTGGTCTGTTTTGTATTTTTCGAACTGTGTGTGTGTGTGTGTGTTTGTGTTAAATGTGTTGCATCTTTTCACAAAATTCGCCAGGAGTCGCTGTTGTATGATTCTCATCAATGACCAGAGGCATTGTCTTTTTTCGTTTTTATGTGTGATTTTCACTGATTCGAAACATGTATATAATTGTAACACTACTTGAGAACATTTCCAATTGAAGCAAATAATATATAATTACTGAATATCACAACAGCAATTGAATTATGCACATCTCAAACACAAGATAATAATATTTTATAGGAAGAACACATGCTCTCCGATTTCATGTTCTTCAAAAGTACGTGCAGGGCCGGCTACATTACCAGGACCTGTTCCCGGTATGCAAGTGTAGTAATTCAGGCAAGCTTGATCAATACTTTCCAATGGGGAGCCCGAAGTGGCTGGGTTTTAATGAATTGAACATGTAATCCACAATCGACGCCACCGCTACAACAGTATTAATACTTCAGCGGCACAGTATCATATTGTGTAACGTATGAGCGACTGTTAATGTGAAATCGATTTTGGAAGGGAGCGAAACGGATAAATAGAACCATTCCTTAGGTGTTTATTGCCTTCGCCAGAAGATTATGTTTTTGATATCTTGTGTGTGTTTGTGTACGCACGTGTGTGTGTTTATGTTTGCATGTGTGTGTGTATTTGTGTGTGTGTGTGTGTGTGTGTGTGTGTGTGTGTGTGTGTGTGCTATTCGGTTTGACACGATAGCTCAAGAAGCTATATATGGATTATCATGAAACTCGGAAGGTAGGGTGGGTCTTGGATGTAAACAACTGATATAATACATGCAAATGAGCATTTCATTTGCATAATCAATGAGAAGAATTTACAAAATCGTCATCTGGAGAAGGTATGAGATCGTTGAACTATTGTTTGACGTAAAATACCAACTCCTGCATACCTGCACACCGCAATACGCAAAACTTAACTTGGTTTAATACAACAACTACGTATAAAACGAAACAATTGGATAAGGTTGAATGACAATTAAATTTGTGTGGCCATAATAATGAAAAAATGATAATAGACATTGCTGAGTGATGCCCGACGTATCCGAAGTTGAAAATGTAATATCTAAGTAAGATGCACAAGCTGTAAGTTCTGCTTACACCACAGACGGTAACTGCTTATCTGAAGACATGGAGTTGTCCATATGTTTAAAATCTACAGTCTTCAAAATCATTTCTGACAGCTTATACTGCGTCTCTTATGAGCGATTGCCGTTTGAATGAATAGCATATGAATCATATTTTATACAGGCAGCATCATATTTGTAGCAGACAATCTATAAGGATAAAGTCTCCGTTGTGTTCGAATTATAATTTCACTGCAGGCAAAGTTCTAACTTGCCGTCGTATACATTTTGGCAATGGCAACTCTTCTAAAAATAATCCTTTGTTGTTGTCGCTTTCTTTTTATAGATGTGTTTTCCTTGTCAGATTTGTTCATATTTTCTAGACCTGCCACGCGTGCTTGAAGGATCACTTGACGATAAAGCAATTCAGCCGTGGTCTAACCACTTTGCTCTCATTATCGCCTTTTCTGCCCGGGGAACATATATATATTTAATCTTACAACGTAAAAATGGAGGTCGATACAACCGAATGTACGCAGGGTCAATAGAGCCGGGCCATTTGGTGCAATTGTTTCTCTACCCGTTTGAAATGAGAGACATCTAGCCGATATTGCTTCCACTCGCAGGTGGCCTATTGACCTTTCAAACGTTAAATTTTAACCGCGTAACATGCCCGCGACTCCAAAGATTTTTCGCTCGCTGCGAAATGTATGGGGTCACCAAGCAATACGGAAAGAGACATATGAATGGCCGGGGGCAAGTTGGCTAATGTATTGGCCATTTGACCCTGGGAAGTTACAACGGAAGTCAAAGGCGAAATCCTATAACCTTTCGAGCACAAAATATAACAGTTGGGATTGGAATGGAAGCGGGCGTACGCGGAATTAAGCACGGAAATAGAGGCATGGATTAGTAAATAATCTCGGCTTGTGGAGGGAAGGTCAAGTCCAATGTGCTATTATCACATAGCCGGGGACGTCGACCAATGAGAAGCCTCAATTTCCCATTGGTTATCAGGCCGATACGGTACAAGTGATGAATAACATAAAAGTAGTCGGTCATTAGAATAACCTGCCGATTTTTTTGACCGTACAATTATACAGGTCACATGAAAATAACAGTAGTGTTCATAATTTTTATAATATTTACTTTTTTTTTTGTCCATGCCATTTTGTTCGCTACGCTCACTCGGTGGTTCATTCGGTGGTTGTTGCACCACACCAGGCCTAGGGATTATCTCACAATATACACCTCGAGACGGTGCATTAACCCTTTAAGTTTATAAACATGTATGCACAGTTTGAATTCAATACAACTTTAAAGGGTCTCCCATTTACAAAAACTTTATCAGCATTGACAGGCTCACGAATATTTCTAATTTACAATACATTTTCTAATTTCAAGGAGGGTTAAAAACCTTGAGAGAAACATCCAGTTACAATGGCACCAGTTACAATATACGATTTTTAAATTACATGTACAGAAAACAAAGCATAGGTATGCATATATCTACAGTGACAGTTTCGCTTTGACATGAATTGATGGCACGGTAACATGGAGTTGCACTTTATTATTCCAACCACACAAACTCGCTCGATAAGTTGAGATTGGTTTGCTCCATCGCTAACAATGGACTGTGACACGTCTAGACTCAGGAAACGAGGGGAGGCAATACAAGGCTGATACGAAGAAAATTATATCAGAGCTTTAGTGTTGTCGCCACGCTGACAACGATTCCCAAACTAAATGTATGTATGGATGATCCCTTGTGTCCGGCAACCTCAGACTTGTGGATCTCTGTCTAGGAAATGTAGTAATAATAGATAAAGGGGATATAGAATATAGACATCAAACACAATTATAACTTATCATGGAAGGTCATCTATGTTTGCAGTAATCATATAAAAATGTTGAATGTTGAACAGAGATAAAATTGTCTACGACCACTGTCACCTTCATCAAAATAATGAATGACCAATCACTTCAAAAACGTAATCTCTAAAGAGTTACAGTTACAGACACGTGACCTTATTCACATGAGACTTTATGCATACGTGACGTATAAGCAATTGATCAAAATTGCTAGGGAGTTCATATTGTCCACCCTTAGAACGTAGTCCTTTTCAGTATCTGATCATGATGATGATGATGATGTTCAGTATCTTCACAATTATGACTTGCATTTTATATCTTACCGAATAAAACAAAGAACTAGATACAATGTGAGTGAATCCTGTATGTATATATGTATGTATAGCTGTACATTTATTCATTCTTCCATCCATCCATCCATCCATCCATCCCTCCATCCATCCATTCATTGATATACAGAGAGTTGTATCGGCTGCTGTAGGCAATGTCGTATTGAATAACAGAAACAGGATTCTTGTGAAACAAAAAGGAGGTCAATCGATGAAATCACTCTTTAAAAGTCTTTTTAAGTCGTTGAACATGATAGTTACCTTGTTTATTACACATGTGCTGCTCTTAATATATTGACGGACGTATGAGCGCACCATGATGTTTACAAGCAAAAAAACAATTAAGATAGTTTTCTCCAGATCGTTATGAAATAATATAAATTTTAAAAAGATAGTCGTAAAAACAAAAGAGTGATTAACTAGATGCAAAGCGACTCTAACTATTAGACTACTATGATTAAATAGATAGACAGGTTCAATTTTTAAGTTAAGACCTTCCATTCGAAACAAAGTTTAACGCAACTCATGAAGGAAAAAATAAGATGAACCGAAGACAGTGACTTAAAAGCAACCTCAGATTAAGCATTCCTTCAAGCGCAAGAAACGCTCACGAAGTATGCAATAGGGTAGAAAAGATGTTGAAACCTTTGATCCACGATAAAGATCTCTCACCTAGAGCGTTCGACCAGTCATTCTGGTCTTCCTCAGTCGACTGACCCAGTGAGGATTGTCACGTGGCTTCATTGAAGTGTGACGTCAACACTGGGTCAAATGTATCTTGCAGAGGATGGATCTAAAGTTTTAACTTTAAACAGGGAACTACCAACACATGAACTTTCATGATAGTATAAAGTAGAAAAGACTTTGATAAAACTTGGATCTTTGCTACTGTATCCAATCAGATAGCAAAGAGTTTCTAAGTCAGAAAACGTCTCGGAAACTGTGCTCGATATCTTGAAATTGAACTCCTATTCTTCACACCGGTAATTGCCCCGTCAAAGCACTTCCACTTAATCAAGTCGTGCTGTAGCAATTTGGTGTAATTCTAGGCCGGCGCCGCGGAACCTGAAACCTCACCAATGGAAGCCTTACCTACCGGATGATGAAGGCTAATTGGGCCATTCAGCTAGCTCCTCGTTTCTGGTAACGTAATCAAGCGCATCCTCGTTTGTGCAGATCAGCCTTGGAGCGGGTTAAAGAAAGGGCTGTATCAAACATGTTCACAGGATTAGAGCGCCGCCTTCCAAACTGTGTCAAACAAGTAGCACGAGTGAACGATGGAAAAATAAGTATTTTCTTTGTTTATCTATTTCTGTGTTCTATATCCAGGGTGGCACTCATCAGTGATTAACCACTGCTGTTTA